AGAGAGAGAGAGAGAGAGAGAAAGAGGAAAAGGTTTGTAATTGTTGTTACGGAGCGAACATATGTTACGGTGAGTTTTATTCGACATTAAACCGAATTTCAGAGAGCGGATCGCCCGGATCTAAATACAGAGCCGAAATCTAAATAGAGAACTGCAAAACATTGCGGGCGCGCGCGTCGCCGCCGACAAAGAGAATCGTATTTATTTATAACGATTTTAATAAATGAAGTGCTAAACAGCCGTGCGACGAGACCACCCGGAACGGACGGAACGGGCGATCAACATCGTCATCTATCGCAATATATCCGAAAATAAATCCTTAATACCGAGGCGGACCGATGAAACGCGACTAGTCGCGCGCGACCAAACATTCGACTTCAGGCACGCGCGGGCGAGTAATCGCCACCGCGAGCGCCTCGCTCGCAGAGAGAAATTTCACTTGCTTCGCGGCACGCCCAACCGATTCAGATAAGAATCGGGGGTCGTCATCGACGGGCGGGGGCGGTCTTCGCGTAATTTATCGCTGAAAAAATGCGACGTGCATACTCAATCAATCATTATCGTCGACAAGGTCCGAAGCCGACCCATGATCTCTTCGCGATGCAAATTAATGCACGTTGCCTCTTTGCGGTAACTTTCACGTTAATTACAGGCATCGGCAGCGCTGCGACGTCCCGCAGAGGCAGAGGCCTCCGAGCGTGGCGTCGCACGCCGGACATGCAGCCGGTTGCATGCCGATCTTCTCCAAAGTGTCGCACGACGGCCGACGCTAAACGAGCCTCCTCCATATTTCGTCAAAAATTGATTCCCAGAGGAAGAGTCGCCGCGGTGACTTTACATCATCGCCGGCGGAAGGCGGCGTTTGTCGAAATTTACAAGATATCATCAAAGAGCAGCTCTCACCGTGTCCCCTCCTCTCTGCCCATTGCCGAACAGAAGCGCTCTGTTGCCGCTGAAGGCGCCTTCAGCGTCTAACGACGTCATCAGCCTCGGGAAATTACCGCTGCGACAGTTCGCGAAGGACGGAATCGGCGAGACTTTACGTAAGTTCAGCGAGGATGGAAAAGTGACGTGTACGAAGTTAGTTACTGGGTCAATGATAAATTGTATTGCGATTTTTCACTTGAAATGTGCCGCAAAAATTCGCCAGTATATCTCGCCGGTATATCCGTCTACTTCTCCAGATTCGTACATCAAAATCTCGTACACTCGATAAATTTGTCAACTTGTCCGAAACGATCGTGTAACATTGTACAGAGTTGAGAATCGTTGACACTGGAGGAAATCTGAAGCTCGTCTCCGGTCTTCGGTTGAACGTTGACAGACAACCTCAGCTTTGCCTCTCTCGCTTTGTTTGTTCTCGCTAATGCAGCGCAAATCCGAGCGTGTTATTTTGATACACGCATCGGCGTGTAATTGGCTGAAGTTTTCTTTACACGCTTACGCTTCTTGAATCACTTCTCGAACTTCACGTCATGAACTACGTACAAACGACGTGTCGAATGACGTTGAACGAATTAAATGACGCGACTGAAGACGACAAGAAACATCGTAAGGAGAGCTTCAGCCAATTGCACGCTTACGCGCGTCCAAATAACTATAACACTCGGATTCGCAGCGTGCTTTCTCGAGTCGCACCGCTGTCTCATCTCTATCGCTCGATGCGTTTACTCGCCGTCAACGCTGCGAGGATGTAAATTTCCATAATGTACACGGAATACTCGAAATCCGCTAAGCGTTCTATCTCTTGAACGTACTCTTTCATTAATACGATCTCCCGCTGAATGTCGCGTTGAGAAATGTAAGTTCGGCGTTGACGGCGTAGCCTGCTAAATTTTCCCCGAGAAATATCGACGTGGGAATGTTTGAGAATCAGCGAGGTACTCGCTCGTGGTAAATGCTCGATATGCTTTACACATCTCGCCTCTCTTTCTCTTTCCTCGTCTCCGTAATTCGTTCCACGCGCTTCTGCGAGCCGCGCGTCTAACAAGCGCCGATGTGTCCGACCGCGCTGCGACGAGGTATTAAACTTTTCCACTCACGACGAGTTGGATTCATGGATCTTCGACTGGTCTCTGTCATTTCTACACTGCAGCATAATATAGTACACTCCAATTTGCTGAGCAGCGAATAAAATTCGCCGATGCGCATCTTGATATCGAACGATATCGTCCGCCGTTTTGCTCGAGCATGCGTGATTGTGAGAAATAGATAACAGTTACTTTTAACAAACGACACAACTCACAAACAGGACAAAAGCATTTCCGATGTGACGGCGACAAACCGTGTCGCGCTGATTTCGTCTCAAGAGCCCTGAAAAATACGCGCGAACTTGCGGAGCAGCCCGGCGTGAAAGCCGTCCGTCTATCCAGATGAGAGTTAAAAGCGTCTCGCAGCGTGTACCTACGGGCGAGCGGATTGAAAGTCCGCTTCGGACTCCGCTTCGGAGAGTGCGGTCTTATTTATATGTGATTCACTATACGGGTCTTTGCCTCGTGACGTACGTGACATTCCTTCCGGTAGGAAGCCTCCGACACGGTCAGCCGCGTCTGTCAAGCTCGCACGGTCTGCACCGAGAGCGACGAGAGCGACGAGAGCGCGAATGAAGAACGTTCGCTCCGCGAACGTAGACGTCGATAGTGATGCTAGCTATCATCGCGTACATGACGTCGATGATTTCTCGCTCGCTCGCAACGAAATGAACGATCAGCGGTGAACGAGAGCGCGGCTTCTAGCGAGCCTCTATCGGCGGGTGACTGACCCGTCCGGTGCCAATTGCTCGCACGGTGAAAAACAAGGAGGAAACGCGCCCGAGAAGCCCGAGAAGCGATCGGGGATGAATCTCATCGAGGCTCGAGTCTTTATCAGTCAAGGAGGGCGTCAAGCTGAAGAACCCAGTCGAGAAGTCAGTCGAGGATCGACTCGTGCTCGACTTTAGACGAATGGGAAGGAAACTTCCACGATAAAGAGAGAGAAGGAAACACAGCTTCATGAATACGGTGACCGTAAGTAAATGTAGAAACGAAAGCGGAGTGTAGACCTGAAACCGACGTTCCAGGCAAAGTCCGGACCAAGTCCAGGCCGAGTTCCAAATCTCGCGCGGAGATCGATCGAAGGGGAGATCGCCGGGCGTACTCGCGGCTGCCGCAAATACGTCCGACGACGCACAACGGCGCTTTCAGGGTTAACTCTCCTCTCGCGCGGAGATCGGTCCTACTTATGTAAAATCTTGAACGAGTAACATTGAGCTAATTATAAACACGGCCGGCTAGCTACGTCCGCGTCTCTTCGCGCGCCCGCCGCCGCGCCTTCGTTACCTGCCCTGCCCTGCCCCTTCTTGCTCTGCTCTGCTCTGCTCTGCTCTGCTCTGCTCTGCTCTGCTCTGCTCTGCTCTGCTCTGCTCTGCTCTGCTCTGCTCTGCTCTGCTCGGCTCTGCTCTGCTCTGCTCTGTTCTGCCTGCGGTCGTGCAATTTGCGATGCAGTCGCTCTTAGGCGGCCCGACACACACGGCTAGCGACCTAACTAAAAATAAGCGGCCGGCCAAGTGGCAGGGGGGAGCGGGGGGTCCGATCAACGGCCAACTGGGCCAGTAAAGTAACCGTAGCTCAACGTCTCAAATATAGTCCGACGTCTACATAGACAGCGATTCGTCCTACCTGCTGGCACACCGCTGCGTGTTCTGTGCGTGTTCTGTGAGGAAGAGAGAGAGAGAGAGAGGGAGAGAGAGAGGAGGGGGCGGAGCATTGGAATAACATAATACTGTCTGTCACCGGCGATTCCCCGATGACACGCCGTTCCTCCCTGTTGAACCGCCCGGAGCGAGTTCGCCGCGTTAATTCTGGGACAGGTCGTGTCGTTGCCATCGCGGCCGCGCGATATCAACAACGTTCGGTAGCTGCGCGTGATTTATCAAGCCGGAAATGCCCGCGTGCTATAGCCGTGCTTGTCCCTCTTTTCTCCCGCTCGATGGAGAGGCCGCGCTCCAGGAGGCCGCGGAGCGATCCTGCTCAAAGATAAATGCGCACTCAGAGCGACTCGGTCGCGGTCCGTTTACACTTTCCCCCCATCGAGAGAACGTTAATTGAAACGTACAGGTAGAAACCGCTAAATTGAAATTGAATCATTGACGTGCGAGTATTTGCAGAGACAAAAATATGGTTTTTGCAGGACTGACGCATTCCACGGTTAATCATCGAAAGTTCGGACCGGTTTGATCTAATTAGATCGGTCTTAATTAGTTCCTCTCGCGGAGATACCAGAGATAAGAGCGCCAGCGCGATGCGAGTATTCCGCGCGAATTTCTCGATCGATTCGCGCCTTCAATATCAGTCGGCTCAAATTGAAATCAGTGCGATCACGCTGCCAATGGCAGACGCGTGTGCCGGTCCCATGCGAGCACGATCGCGGCACAGTATAAGAAAGAACAGTAGGTTCACTCGGCACAAAATAGTGCGAACGGTCGTTTGTCGCGCATGACCGAACTGCACAACCAACGATATGACGACGGCCAATAGCTGTCAAAATGTGTAAGTGTAAGCAACGATTAACCATATGACCGAATTTTTAATATAATATTGTTGTTTTATTAAAATCAATGTTTCAGTAAAACGAATGAAAGAAGCGGGTATAAATGTTGTATAATAAACTGCAAAAGTGCAAATTTAAATTTGCAAAGTGTTAAATTTTGTTTTAATCAAAATGTGTTCCCTTCGAAACAATACAAAATAAAAAAAAAAAGGCGGACCTCAATATCATTTAACTTTCGAGATTTTTTACCTGTTGCGTTTGAAATTTAGCACCCTGTATATATGTACATCTTTCTATATTATAATTAGTAATATGCTATACATTATTAATTATAATATCATTAACATATTATATTTATAATAGTTCATATTTTTATATTATTTATTATTATTATTATTATTTTATATTATTTATATATTTTAATATTATTTCATAATATAAGTATATTATAGATTTGACAGTAAATATTGAAAAACAGCAATAAATCTATTTTAGCTACTATTCATTGCCATTCAAATTATAATCCATAACACGGCGGTCTTGCAGCACCTGAGATCAAAAGCACCGCCACCGAGTGAACCTACTGTTCTTTCTGATGCTGTGATCGCGGTTTTCTCATCGGATCCCCACTCAAGCGGTGCCCACCGTTCGTTCCCCGCCGAGACATTGTAGTGCCGTTGCACTTGGCCGACGACAACGACTCGATCGGAATTTCGGCATCTGCTATAATCGATGTAATCGCCCGACAAGATGCAGCGTCCTGCGACTTCGGACTAACAGCGTCACCGTGTTAGCCTCGTGTTCTCGTCGGTCTGTGCAAACGGCTGTTCCCTCCTGACATGGTCCAAAGGTCGAAAGGTCGAAAGCCGCACGTCCCCCGAGCATTGTTTTGGTTTGGTTCTAGTGGACAACAAGGAGGTTAAAAATAAGAAGCCGCAGCGTTTAGAGATCGCTGCTCATCTCACGCCGCTAGATTAGGAATGCTGATTATTTCTCAAACAGATCGATTTAAAGATCGATTAGAATCACGAAGAAAAAGTTCGATCTTTAAAAAAATCGGTTTATAAAAAATCGATTTCAGAAAATCGATTTGAATCGGTATGCATTTAGAGCGAACCACTCATTAAAGTATATTATCTGTCAAATTTCTACACTCTAAAGTAGATCTCGTGTAATTCATGTAGTTTAATATGAATTAAGGAAATTAAATTTTAATACGAATTAAAGAAATTAAACATATGCTATTCTTTTGGTTGTGTTCTGTATGTGTGTGTGGCCAGAACAAAATAGAAAAAGATCTTTAGATCTTTGTGCTAAGGATTTCATTACTTTGATTAAACGTTAATCAAGGAATTTAAATGTTATTAAATAAGAAATCACGTTTACTATTATATGCATATACATATGTATACAATGTATATTATTATATGGAGTGGCTGTGATTGGTTTGCACGTTTCGTACTACTGAAAATTCTCGCCCATGGAACATCGATCTAAAGGCAACATAATGTGCATCGTGCAACCGTTGAGTGAATGTTACTGAACTAAAAGAAGTGAAAAAAAAACTATATTACTAATAAAAAACTGAAAAAATCGTGTTGGCGATTTTCAGAATTTACAGATCGATCCTTGAATCGATTCAGTTCCAGAAAATCGATTTGAAATCGATCTTTCAGGCTTCGATTAAATCGATTTAAAATCAGCATCCCTACGCTAGATCGATACGCTCGCGCGCGCGCGCGCGCGCGTGGAAGTGTAGACCATTTCTGTTTCCTGTTTCTGCAATTCCAGCGCAATTAGGCGGCAAATTAGGCACGTGAATTTTTTAATTTTCTAATTCGTATCCGACATCTGATCAGTCCGTTACCGAGGCGCTTACCTTCCGTGCGAAATCTAGCGCTTCTTAGCCGGAGCGAGTGCTAATGAGGGTCGCGCGCTAATAACGCGTAGGCAGCAGGCTCGCCCCTCAAAGAGAAGCCGCATCAATATAAATAACGGGCGCGACATGTATATTTATCTTGTCTATGCGGCAGCAAAATTGTACGCGAGCCGTCACAACGGACAGCCTTGTCTCGGTAACGAGGGAGCGTTTAACAAATTACGGTGGTAGATCTTCAGCTTGGTCAGTCCGCTGACTTCACCTCCTGGCAACAAATGAGATACAACAAATGACGGCGCATGTAAAATTGAATGTTCGAGCGATTAAGAGAGGCGCACACGCTATTATGTCTAAACGTCGAAGTTTCTAGACGCGACTTAGCGGCTCTTACGTTTAAACGCGCCGCTTAGGCAGAAAGAGAGAGAGAGAGAGAGAGAGAGAGAGAGGGAGGGGGGGGAGCTGCTTGTAGAGAGAATGAAAATAGAAGACGAATGAAGGCTATGCCGAGGTGTGCGTGCTGACATCCTCAGGAACTCTAGCGCACTTTAAGATCCGTCTCTGTCCACCTTGACGAAGGTAGCGTCACGGCTCAGTGAACGTCGCGGCTGCTGCGTGATACATGACGTCGCGAGCGATTGCGTTAGCGATCGCTCACCGAATTTTTGCGTGAGAAGACGAGCGCGATATAATAAATAAATTCGCGCCGAGTAAAGTAATATCATATAGTCACAACATCTTGAAGTTTTATGAGAGTCGCAAGGCGAATCTTTGTCCCATAAACCCCTGTAAAAATCAAAGAGGAAAAAATGAAACGAGAAAAAAGGGGAAAAATCAGCGAGGGAAAAACGCAACGAGAAAAAAAAGAGGAAAAATCAAAGAGGAGAAAAGAAATAAGTAAAACAGAAAGAGGAGGCGGGGGAGGGGGGAGGGGAGAGGAAGAATGAGTAACGTCTTGAGGAGCAATTTTTGCGGAACATCGAGTCAGAATCTCAAGATATGTAAGAATAAAACCGACCAACGGAAGAGTATGCTGATAAGATGAGAAGCATCTCGGATTAATATGACTTGCGTTTCGGATTGACCGAAATAAACGCGAGAAACGTGAAAGCCCGTTGTCCAGAGTTAATTTGCTAATGTCAATGCGATTCTTCTTCGTACGAAGGGAGACTCTATCGGCGCCCGCAATCGCCGACAGCAATCGCGAGAAGCGCGCGACAGGTATTGCCCGCGATCCTAAATTATTCGCCGCGCTCCACCGCCGAGCCGGGAATCTTTGGCAGGTCCCACGCGGCTCGACGCGCGACGTCGATGAAACGCAGAAAAGTCTCATCTATCATGTCGAAACGCGTACCGCGAAAATAGTCGCAAGGATACGTTCGGGGCCGGACTTGGCGCGAGTGTGCGCGACTGAACGTGCCGGCGCGAGTTATCGGGCTTGATTCCGATAACGACGATTACGATAAAGGCTACGTCATAGTTGCGACGTTATTGCGGATATCGGTGCTAAGTAGATCGCTCGGATAGAAACCAAGGTTGAGAGTATGCGGAGAAACTGGTTTTGCAGATCTTATCATATATTTTGCCTTGCACACCTTGACTCTTTGCGGGATTATATACTCGTCATGTGACATAATAACTTTCGATCGCCTTTCTCGATTTTCTCCATTTCCTACGTATTACATTTTCGCGTACACGCGAGTAAAATCGTAAGCAAGCATTTGGCTGTCGACCTTTGCTCCGGATAATCGATGTATTCGTCCGCGAGAGAGACCGCACTTTTTGATATTAATTATAAGTATATCTGACCGACAGTCAATACACGTTGCCGCGCTCCATTACTACAGCAAAGTCCGTACCTTTGTGTGTATGTGTGCGCAAAGGATAATCTTAAGCCGCGCGAAAGGGCAAAGTGGAAGTCTTAAGGGCGTGCAAAAGGTGCATCATTACATAACCGTGAGAAAAAAATTTCGTAATTGACGTGAAGGCAGAGGCTGATCGGGATACATCGGTTGCTCGTGCGCTAAGACTAAGGACGATAAAAATATGCGACGAGAGAGTCAACTTTGACTTCTTTTTGTAGTCAGTATTTCGCTTGTCGGATAAATAATATCGAGAGATAAATGCCAATTTTTCTTTTCCAAAGATAAAGGAAAAGTTTTCACGAAAAGGCGTTCTAGGCGTTTAGATTTATTACTTTTCCTATCCGTAATTTTCAATACCGATGAAATCAGGTACGAATGGAAAAAACATCGAGAAACACAGCCGACATCTTACTTCGCAGCGTCAACTTTTCGTCCCGTTGCGAATCAACCGGTGAGGATAATTTAAGGTCCACAGGTGCACGTGAGATATTTTAGCTTTGATATCTACAATCGGGCAGAGTGCTTTCTATTGTACATAAGACGAAAAGCGAACGGGATGAATTCGCGCGAAGTGTATTAATAATTTCACGAAATCGCGCAGCGAACGAGGGATTATTTTTGCGAGCGCAAAGTCCCGCTCGGAGACGTAATCGCTGGTCGACTATGCAATAAAGATGTTACGATTACGACTTTGGCACGCACGATGTCGCGTGTATCGTCGCTAGCGCAGCAATGCATCGTACACGTCACAAACAGCACGTGGGAACAATGCGAAACGGCGCTGACGAAACGACTCAATTGTAAATAAGAAACGACCCGTGTGCCAAGCTAGAGAAGTTCGGAGAGCCGAAGGGAGAGACTTCCTACTTCGGAATGGATCGGTTTTTACGCGCGTTTCCCGACACAAAACTTCCATTTCCACGCTCTGTCACGCGAGTGCGGCGAACACTTCGCACCTTCCACGTTTGTGAAATCTACGCGCCAAAAGTACATCCACACTCCTGGAAATATACCCAGCGATGTAGCGACTTCAGCCATTCTCTCTCTTCGCACGTTGCTGCACGCTCGTCTTGACTTGCCTTCAGCGTCGGACTTTTGTTCCGCAAGCTGCCGTTTTACCTTCCGAAATACAGCCTCGAAATACAGCCGCGAAATACATTTCGCTTCCTCGGCGCGTCGACAGAAGACCCTCCCCCCATCACGTTCTCCGATTAACCCGAGCAGAACGTGATCACTTCGCCGCGGAATCCTTGAGAAAACCATTATTACGGCCGGTTAAGCCTACGCTCTAGGCCAGGGGCTAGGCTAGGCTATTTCCGCGGTTCAGCTTATGGACCGAAATAGTCCTAGAGAGCTTCTGTCGGGACTGTCCATGTGAGCGTCGGTGTGCTCCGACCGACACGGGGGTCGATCTTATGTCTTTCCCGCCGAATTTTCATCGTCGCTCCTTTGACAGGGCGGGAACTCGAGCTCTCGCTGTTGCTCGTCTGTTTGGTTCCCCCAAGCCAGAGACCAACAACAGACAGTAATCTAACGGACACACGGGCGAATTCCGGGATTACGTAACGAGCCGTTTGAAAATAAGCCAGAGCGGACGTAAATGGCTGGCTCCTCTATAAAAAATAAAAAAAAATCCACCGAGTCGCAATTGATTGCGAAAAACGATCGGAAAAACGTTCTCGGCACAACTCGATGATGAAATCGCCGCGGCGAATTTTCCACGTTCTACAGTATCCCGCAGTACAGGCAGCTTTTTCTCTCCCCTGCCCCCTTCCCCGCAAACTCTAATCTTCGGGGAACACGGCGGGAGGAGAGAGCGGCGGGGGAAAGTGATCCGAAAGGAAAGTTTTCCGCTTCCTTTTTCTCTCGGACCGCTAAGGCAATCGGCGAGAATATCTCTCGGCGCGCCCACGTTCGCGTTCGTTCGCGTTCCTCTCGGCGTGCTTGCGCACCGGCTCCGCTCCTCCTCGGTCTGTGTACAACGGCTATTTCCACTGTCGTCGGCGACGGTGCGACAGGTGCTAAGCCATGCCAGGCGGCGCGATGCCGCATCGGCGAGGCGAGGATTTCGAAATCCGCCGACGAGAGAAGCCCGCGACGGAGTATTTTCAATCGTCTCCACCGGTGCTGGGCGATTCCTCGTCGTCCTGGGGAAGCGGCACCGGACCGATAGGTGAAGGCGAACGAATAGGTGGCTTCGCAGAGCATATTTCTGGCAGTCACGAGATACGATTTTACGGGCGGCGAACGAGCAGTAACGAGCAAAAGAAAGAGAGAGAGAGAGAGAGAGAGAGGTGGGGGAGGGGAAGGAAGAGAGAAAGAGAGAGAGAGAGAGAGAGAGAGAGAGAGAGAGAGACGCACACTTGTGCGAGTTCGGCGAGAATGAGGGGTGATGGGGGAAGGCTGGTACTTGAAGAGGACGGACTCGCGCCGCTCTCGGTGGAATCGACATTGTCGGGCGGCGGCCAATTTTCAGGGAAATTCCATTAATACTCGTGGCTTTGTCCCACTTTGAATTGATGATTCGTCGTCGCTCCGCGCCTTGGTACAGTCGGACGAGTCGTTTTACGCGGGGTGTCTCTGCTCCGTCCTCTTTTATTCCAAATATGTGACAGCCTTGACGAGAGAGGATCCTCTTGTGACAGTCGCCGCACGACTTGAACTTTTTGAATTTCCGGCATTGAATATTACAAAATATATTAAATATATATATAATTTTCATTCGAATATTCCGTTGGGGGTGAACACGAAGATCGCTCATCTCGCCGTTGTTGATGTCGAAGCGAGAAGCTTCTCGACGTTCGATCAAGGACGATTCGGAAAACGTATCGAGGCGGGGCGCTCGCACGTTTACATTCCACGTAGATTTTTATTTTTATTTTGTCACTTTTTATCGCAATCTCCAGCATCTCTTCTTGAGAGAAAGACGACAGTCCGCGGATGCTGCAGATTGCCGTATCCGACTGTTAAAAGATGATCGATGGACGTATAGGAACGCGGGGAAAAATTGCAATGACAAAGAAATAAATCTCGCGGATCGCGCGAGATGTATTTCGCGATGATGAGTGATGATGGACGTCTCGCCGTGTCGAGAATCGCGGACATCTTTTAGGAGGACTTTAACTTCCCGATGGATACGCGTCAGCGTGCGCGCGTATGTGCGGCACACGCAACTTGCCAAACGTGTTTGCATGCTTCGTCGATCTAGTACCGTCCTATAAGTTTGAAAAATGTTGGCCGCCCATGTGGATATTATACTTTCCGTAGTTCGCACGCGTTGACCGCTCGCCAGGATTGCACCTGTGCGTGTGCGATCACAGGAGACTGATATCTCAAGATGCGGTCCTCCCGATTTGCTACATTGCTCAATCGTATCAAAGCCTGATGAGCAAAAACATCGATGAGTCAAACGTCACTCATTAATTACGCCAAATATCTCATTAGTACACTCTCTTGCCGCGTTCAACGTTTGACCATCAAGTTACTCAGCATCAAACATCAGAAAGCGATGGAAAGGAGAGCCCGCGGATTTTTCGTTACACGGAGGAAACAAACGAACGAGCGCATCGTTCATATAATCAACCATAAAATAGTGTCGCAACGAGCGCGAGTGATCTTGCGCTGAGCTGCCGCTAAGAGCAAATCGAGCTCGAGTCCGCGCGAAGACGTGTCCGGCGACTTCGAGACGAGCAATCTTATTCCATCGTTCGTCGATGGAGATCGACTCGAAGAGAGTCGGCTCAAGTGTGATTGCGGCGCGCACGAGCGCGATCGCGAGGCCGACGCGAGGAACGAACTTACTTCGACGAAGTAAACGTCTGCGGAAACTTCGCAGTTTGATTAACCCAATTCCATAGTCCTGGGTGTGAGCCCACGCGACTGACCTTTACTTTATCTCTCCGCGGCCGGATCGGGCCGGGGGTAGGGATCCAACTCGCAGAGTCCATCTGCCATCGGACATCAGCGCGACCGACCAAGCTGACTGTCCGGCCGGCCGGCCGCACGCCCACACGAATTGCTACCGCATTATTTCGAGTGCTTTGGCCTTGGGTAGCGGCCAGAGAAAACTTTTGCGAGATATCGCGAAACGCGCCGGGCTTCTTCTTCTTCTCGCTCGGAAGCGTGATAAGTATGGGGCGGCTCTCCGGCCGAAAGTCGCATCGACCAGCGGCGCGAAGAAGCCGCACGGTAAATGAGAACGTACAAGGTAAAGCCATGGCGAGCGGAGCGCAACGTGGATTCGCCGTACTTGCCGGCTGCGCTTTTGTCTTCTCCCCCGAGCGCGAAACCGAAGAGAAGACCGTAAGGTGAGGGTGTATTATTCCACGACAACATCGAGAGCGCGAGATCTCGATCTCGATCTCGTTCTCTCTCTCTCTCTCTCTGCGGGCTCTCACGAGCGGACTAATGGTTAAAGTCCAAGGTGCGAATTTATGGACGATATTCAGCCGCCTTTTCGCATCGCGACATGTCGCGTTGAAGGGAAGAAAAAGTGTCGTTTTCGCCGGGCCGACGCAGACGGGGGACACGTGCGGAATTTGAGCGTGACACGCGTGACGTATATGATTATTCGAGATGGACAAGCCGTGACGAAAGGGAGAAGAGGCCGACGAGAGGAAGAGGAGCCGGGGACGCAAGAAGGAAAGGATGATTTATGACGGATAGACGTGCGTGGCGATCAACGGCTCGCGATCCCGCGAGGTGGGGATAATTGGATTTTTCGACGGAGAGGAGAACGTCTCTTTGGCAAGCAAGCACTTCCTGCTAGGCTACGAAAACGAGCTTCGGGTCTGGCCGACTTAGAGCCGCCGAGCTCGCGCGCGAGTCATAATAATAACAACTCCCGCGAAGATTTCGCCCGCGAGCTGAATCTTAAATTTAAACAGAATGGCGAGACGGGCACCGCGCGGTGGAAACGTAAAACGCTTGTCGTCGTCTCCACAACACGGTGACTAGCGTGTGCCGCCCTGTTCGCTTCATTTGACAGGGCGCGCCAGTGACCTCCCTGTCGGGAATAACGTCTCGCACACGCGGGGTGGCTCCCGCGACCTCAGCGACGATCGTTCATCTCGACGCGGACTCCCTCGTCAAACGCCCTTTTCACGATGACCTTGCTGACTTTCCAGGGAGGCTAAGAGAGCTTTTTGTATTATTTTTTTATTATTACATTAGCAAATAATGGTCTTTCTCAGCTTTGTGACTCACCCTAAGCTTCATTTACAGCACATATGTTCATATATGTTTTATATTTATAGTTAAGCTTGTAAACATATTTACATTACGCATCTAAGAATCACATTCTAAGATGTCTTCTCGAGTCTCTGGTGCATTATCCAGGCTAACAGACCGCTGGAAAGGAGTACTCCGCCTCTGTGGAAAGATCGATGCCGATTACGCGATGCAAAATTGCACGACTACACACGAACAACAATAAAAAGATAAACACAAGGTTAAGGGAAAAAAGAGATACGCGAAAAGAGGAAAGGGCGGGTATCGGTCGGATTGTCTGGTAACGTCGATATCTCGCAAATTCCTCGACAAACGGAAACAACATCTCGCAATATCTCTCATCACGCGAGACGTGAAGCAATTTGTATTCTTTAAACGGAACATCATCCACGACCGAGGCACCGTTTTAGAAAGACTACGTCAAAGGCGAGAGCCTTCCCTCGTCGAGGGCATTGCAGAACCGCGCCGAGACCGATCCGAAGGAAGAAAAGAAGTCGCATGAGCATTTTCATATGAGGAAAAATCGAATGGATTCTAAAAACGACCGTGAAAAGACTGAGAAAAATCGCGTAAGTCACCGATATGTCCGAGTCGTGAAATCTCGTTTATCTGGCGTAGTGCACGCGCGCGCGCGCGCCACACACACACACACACACACACACACACACACACACGCATGCAACGTGCATGCGATATATGACACATATGGATGGGCGATCCTAATTATAGCATTTTCATCGCGTTTGAGACGAGCACGGATTGATATATCGATGTATGAATCAAGATAACCAGGAAAAGAGAGGGGGGGAGAGAGAGAGAGAGACAGATGGCTAGAATCAACGAGGAGGACGGAGCACGGCGGCGTCACCGAGAGTCTTGAGTCTTTCACCCGAATGTTAGGTAACGCGACGCATGGCCGGCCGTCATAATGCGCCTTCGCAACAATTGGCAACGCGATTCGCGGCTTGTGCATCTACGGCAATGTCGACACTAATTAGAGACTCCGCAAAGCGCAAGCGGCCTTCGGCCGGTCCAGCGCCATTAATTCGCTTGACATAATCGCGCCAGGCGGCGGCCGCTAATAAGGATTGGATCAGTCACGACGCATCAGCCGCCGATTAAAACTTCGATTACGACACCGCAAGGTGCTTCGAAATCAGTAGTAATTGCGCACACGCATACGCACATGTACATACATACATGCACACGTGGCCGTCCAGAAGTGTCGCGCGCCGCTGCACCCGCGGATTCTTCGATCGATCTCGCCGGCTCGATTTCGCTCCGGCAAATATCCGATTGCACCCGCTAAGTTTTCTTTTTTTATCTCCGACGTCTGGGGTATCTCGGTGATTGGATGAGCTTTCGCGTGTAATCGTGTTAGGGAAAAGAGTATACCGCGTGATAAATTGCACCTCGCCACTTCTCGGTCTTCGTAAAGTGAAGTGAAGAATTCGAAAATCAAAAGGTTCACGATTGGAAATTTCGTTTCGTTACGCTTCGAAACGCTTCGATGGGGGAGGAACTCTAAAGCTAAAATTTTAACCGGACAAAAATAAGCATCCTACGTTTACGCGAGAATAATAAAATAATACCCGAGCCTTTTATTCGAGGAAAAGTCGAGTTTAAGTGGGTCGTGAGGAATTCGTAGGTGAAAAGAGCGGCGATAGTTCCAAGACACTCTCTCTCTCCCTCTCTTTCTTTCTCTCCTTGTGCAACAATGGTGCAATTGACGAAGACGAGCCGCGAGACAATATAAGAGACAACAATCGAATCTCTCTTTCCTCCGAACTCGAGCGCCGCTTAGTTTACAAATAACGAAACGGAAATAACTCGGCGAGTTATTTTCAATAGGCCCGAACTGATGCTTCTCTCACGCGTTCAATTTCGGCGAGCGACTCGCGCTGAAGAACCGACTGGAGAGTCATGCCGGATCATCATGCAGTCGTCATCGAGCATTTCGCAGCGCATACCAACTTACACCTTTTCCAGTTTTTCATACGTACACTAGAGCGAGTTGCACCGAAGGTGAGTGACGTATCGCGCTGTAAGGGACTACGTGCAGCTCCTTGTTTTGCCTGAACCACTGCAGTATGTCCCGGGCGCTGCAAAAGAACGAAGGAAGTCGCTTTTGATCATTGCGTCGCGTGTAGACGGAGACACATCCGACTGAACGATCTCGATCGTTCCGCTCGGCGAGGTAAACGTAATAACGCGTTAAGCCAGTTTCGCCAGTGACGAGATTTCGTTGGACACACATTTGCCACCGGCGCGGCGGGTGTAATAATAGATTGTTAATAATAATGTACACACACGCCGGCGTGCAGACTGCGGCGATCTTTTAATAAGCGTTGTAAATATATCCGCAAAAGAGTTCGTCGGTAAAAGCGACACGAAGATGGGAGTGATGCCAATGACGGAGAAAATCTTACGCGTACAATGTGACGGCGCGAGTTGTGCTCTTCGATTATCTGGAGTGTGCGAGTATGCGCGGGAGATCTCCGTCGTGGAAATGCAGCAGCGTCTCGCGAGATTTGTTTACCGTTATCTGGGAAGAGACTCGTCTCCGCGTGACGACGTGGAGATGAGCCTTTGGTTGCACGAGTCCCGATTACTCGCGAACGAGTCGAACGGATGGAAGTGTCGATGGTTCTGAGATGACGACGGGGCGAGAAAAGTTGGACGGAACACAAAATGTTGTCCCGTTACAAAATTACAAAATGTTGACGTATGAAAGAACTGAAAGCACAAGGCGCATTATGCCCCGGACACCCGGGGTATTGAAATTACCGCGGTACTCGAGGCACTTAACGCGCGTACGTTGACTCGACGCGGCCGGTGCGCGCCGTCTTCGAGAAACAAGCGTGCCGTAATGGATTCACTGAATTGCGATATTCGACGGGCAGCGGTTTGTGTTTTCAGGCCGTCTGAATTAGACAAACGCAGTCGATCGATCGGACGGGGAAACAAACTACGAACGAGCGAACGTGTGTTATGAGATTCGCCGGGAGGCGGCGACGCGCGCGACGTGTGGTGACGATTTGATCGCACGCGACCGCACAACGCGACACAATCGTAACAAACCAAAACGTATGTTAACCGACATCACAATTTGTGCGATGCATGATCGGTGAATAGACGTGGCTGTCCTTGGAGAATGTCGAAAATAGTTTCGCTACCTTGCGCCGAAGTAGTTTCGTACTACTATAAATTACCAACCACATACTCGATACCTAATTGCATTTGCGCAACTGTAATATTCACCGTCGTGACATCCTGCACTGCATCGATGCACAAAATGTGCTTATAATATCTCACAGACGACTCAGAAACGCGAACGCACTTGGCAGCAATCGCTTTCTCGATATATAATATCGCGGCTTACTTATCGTATATGTAAAGTTTGTATAATCGTGACGTTTAGCAATTCTTCGTTTTTTCAGGTCATTATGATATGCTTAATAGGAATATTACGTGACAATTCGATGTTACAAAGAACTGCCGTCTCTCTTATCGCGTGCAGCTAGATATTTCATAACTGCTATTTATTTAGAACACATCACCCCTTTCATTTCTTTGCGTACTTAAGAAGATACGCTTGCGAAAGTTCACGATTAGAATCAAGCTTGTTAGTGTCGTTATTTTTGTTATTGCAGTGATCCGTCAAATATTTACTCTAAAAAGTATGAAATGCGCGTGAGCGTATTTGTTCTTTCAGCATATATTCGCTATCAATGCATATTCGCGTATGACACAAACAGAAACATTAAACTGCGATAATTTTCACCTCAAAATTTGCGCTGTATATACGTATATTGTATAAAACGGTATATCGATATGACCAAATAAACAGAGAAAAAAGATTCGATGAATCGATTGGATTACTGACCTCCCATGATTTCCTACCGCCACTAATATACGGTCTGACGCAAGTTTTTTCACATCAACGGGACCGAATTTCAATATTTCTTCATATATCTAAAATAAAAATTTGAATGCAAATCAGTTGAAAATCATGCACACTACACGCATATCGCTTTAATACATGCAACACATTTAACATTACGATACTACCACATATTAAGATGTTAATAACAATAATCAAGTATAATACCTCCATTTCGGTTATTGGTTTGGCTGTTAAGGTTTTCACATAAAGCCACTTCGGACGAGTCGATGGCGGTTCGTGTCCATTGAGTTTCTTAAAAATACAGATTTTTATTTTTACGAAAAGGAAACGTAGAGCATACCTTCGATTATGTAATTTGTTTCATTTAATATCGAGATGTCTCGTATTCTTCTTACCAGGTATGACATTCTGCCACGTATGATATTTATACAATTTGCGAAATTTTGAATACGGTGCATTAATTCTTTATGCGTAACGTACCTCGACGTTTCTTTACTTTTAGGACCATCACTATAAAATAAAATTTTTTTCACATTATTGTTGCAACCATAGACATTATACTAAATATAACATGTAAACATATTAACTAAAGATAAAAATAAATATCTTTTAGTTATAAATGTAACTTAGAACATACGGTTTAGTGTACTTCTGAGTGAATTTAAATGCCATTTTTATAAATATGTAACCCGTAAAGTAAGAATCCCAACCTGCAGTGTGACATTTCATAGATGCTTTAACAGCTGAAAATATACAAAGCTTTTCAATATTTAGAATATTAATAATAATACTCAATAACAACATAACTAAACAACAACGTAACGATAATATAAACAAGAGATAAATATCTACCATCTGAATAAATCAATTCATTATTGAGACGAATTTTAGGTACAGGAGAATATATTTCATACTTTAAGTCATAGTCTGAGTAGTAACCAAACTTTGTAAAATAATCAAATAGGCCTCCTAGTGAATTAGTTTTCCATTTTTCTGAAAAGCAAAAAACAAAGAGGCATTTAATATGTTATATAGTATACAAACACAAACATGAATAATTACCTTGTGGATCAAGAATTTCCCTAAGTTCAAAGCTCAAAAATTTTGTGTCATAAATTAATGGAAATAATTTATGTATATTATTCTTGAAATCGATATATTTTCCTGGAAAATATATTATTTATAACTTTATTATGAACTTACACTTGTTCATTGTGTATTATGAATAATAAGTATGTTAAAGTAAAAAGAATATCCTTAAATCTATATAATTATACATACGTGGCAGAGGCTTGTAAAATTGTTGATACATAAACATTAAATCTAACAGGACATTGTGTCCTATTATAGGCTTCTTCAATGTAACTAAGAGATTAAACACTTTTGAGAAGCCCATATATGATTCCAGCAATGCATTTTCCAGAATGAGATCTTCTTCCTCGCTCAAAATCTCTCTTGTATTTGGTTCCACTTTTATTACAGTTACCTGAAAAGTTATAAGATTGAAAACTTGAAGTTGAATTTCCTTAATAGAAAATTTAGGAAACAGAACAGCTAATGATAAGCTATGGGACTAACCGATTCATTTCCTGAGAGAGTCCAAATATTTGGAAAATGTTTTCTTAATTCCTTATGCATGAGGTACTGTAAATTTGGAGAAGAAGTTTTGATCTTAAACGAATTAGTTTCATCGATATTAGTAGCCAACCATTTCGCTACTTCATTGATCGTATTTTTTAAAGTATCCTCTTCCGTGAAAGATATCACTTGCTTAATGTTGTAAATCAATGTGTTTTGTTGTATTTGTTGCTGCAAAATTTCTTTCTCCTGTTCATCAATGTATGGAATACTATGGTGAGCAAGCTGCAATTTCATAATACATATAATTAGTTTGTTTCTGCTGGCAAAATAAAACATCACAAGTGATTTGAAATATTTATACCATTTGATAATCACAGATAAACTACGTATATGATTTTATGCTTATAAAACATGTATTAATCTATAAGAAATATACCTTGTTAAAATCAAACTCATGCTCAGCCAGAAACTCCATTGATGATACATCCCAAAGAACTTGTCTATTTTTTGATGGAATAGATTTAGGCAATATAAAAAAGTTGAAGATTTCCGCATTATATTGATTTTCATCATGTATTCGTTGGAATGCAGTAATACCAAACTGCACTATTATGTACGGCCGGATAATATTCCTGTTTTTATCATAGCGTTCCTCGATAGAATCGAACAAACTATCAATATACAAATGCCAACATTATAAAGCAACACTGATATCTCTAGCATTATTTGAGCTTATTCAAAGGAACACAAACTAACCTAGTTTTTATATTTTCATCTTTTATACCTGAAAATTCGCTATCAATTGCTATGAAAGTCGCATTTTTCAATGTATGTTCTAATTGTGGATATATCTCTTTAAAATTATTATTCGTAACGTCATTCATGATAAAAATGTTGTTTTCAAATGTTTTCTGAAAGACTGAATAACTGCTATTATATTACAATACACGGCATACACAGTGAGCCGCCATGATGTTTCAACTGTTCCTTATATATGCACTAAGTTGCACTATGTGCACTTAAAATGGAATGTATTTGATACTTGATGGAAGAAAAAAACTA